GCTTCCGCTTTTCTTTCAACTATAAATGAATCAGAAATACTAATAGTTGAAACAGATGCATCAGAATTTGCCATAGCAGCCACTCTTTCACAATCTGGTAGACCAGTAGCTTTCTTCTCAAGGACGCTTAGTGGCAGCGAGAAGAGTCATTCTTCAATTGAGAAAGAAGCTTATGCTATAGTGGAAGCTATTCGCAAATGGAGACATCTACTACTAGGTAGGCAATTTCAATTTGTGACTGATCAAAAGAGCGTTTCCTTTATGTTTGATAACAGATCCCATGGGAAAATTAAAAACGACAAAATTTTAAGGTGGCGTCTGGAATTATCTCCTTTTAGTTACGAGATTGTTTTTCGTCCTGGAGTTTTGAATCGGGCAGCTGACGCGATTTCACGAGTATGTTCCTCAATCGATAGTAAAGTTAACTTACATGAAATCCATACATCACTATGCCACCCGGGAATTACCCGTATGTACCACTGGTTAAGGTCTAAGAATATTCCAGCTTCTTTAAATGAGGTTCGACAAATGACAGCGTCTTGTCAAATTTGTTCTGAAATTAAACCAAGGTTTATAAAATCTCAAGGAGTTTTAATCAAGTCTACTTCACCCTTTGAAAGGCTTAACATGGATTTTAAGGGACCACTTCCAACTTGTTCAGGAAAACCTTATATGTTAACTATTATTGACGAATTCTCTAGATTCCCTTTTGCGTTTGCGTGTTCAAGTACAACGTCTTCTGAAGTCATTAAACACCTTAAAGAGCTTTTTTTTACTTTTGGTACCCCCTCATACATTCACTCTGATCAGGGATCGTCTTTTATGTCTAAAGAACTTAAATCCTTTCTCGGGTCTCTTGGAATAGCTTCAAGTAGGACTACACCATATAATCCCCAAGGAAATGGACAGTGTGAGCGTTACAATGGAATTATATGGAAAACTGTTAGTCTCGCACTGAGATCCCGTAATCTACAAACTAGTCAGTGGGAACAAGTACTACCTGAAGCACTCCATGCAATTCGATCCTTACTATGTACCGCAATCAATGTGACACCACATGAGAGAATGTTTACTCATCCTAGACGTTCAACAAACGGCACTTCTCTACCTACTTGGCTTACATCCCCAGGGCCGGTTTTACTTCGAAATTTTAACAGAAGCAATAAATATTCTCCTATGGTCGAAGAGGTTGATCTTTTGGAAGCCAATCCTCAGTATGCTCACGTACGCTTCTCTGATGGTAGGGAAACCACTGTTTCTCTCCGACACCTGGCTCCTACCCACGAACAAGATACTTCTCATAAGTCTGTCAGAGAAAGCGTCCCTGTCAAAGAAGGTCAAAACGAGAATACTGAATCTACGCCTCTAACTATGCATGCTGATCATGATCCTGTCATAAAGGAAGGTATATTGCCAGTTGGATCTCCCTACAAAGATGAATCTACACTAGCGGACGAAGAAAATTCAAAAAGAGTTTCTACGCGAAACAGAAGACCGCCTCCTTACCTAAATGATTATATTAAGTAACAGAGGTGGGAAGAATGTGATATTATTTAGTACACTTCATAGTTCATGTAGTCTTATTATTTGATAGTAGTTTGACGTTTCTATATTTTATTTAATTGTCAGTCATTTCGTTCATTAAAGCCTTACTAAAGGTCTTTTGCGTTATTACAGCAGCCGAATGGTTTAGGTGGACCTTGCCTTACCAAAAAGGTTCTTTCGGCTTCTGGTAGTATCATTGGCCAGATGGCCGGATCTGTACTTAAAGGTTGTTGAACGCTTTCTGTAGGTGCCACGTTGGTATCAATAGTGCTCTCATTTGGCGACGGAGGGCTGTCACTGTTAGTTGCAAGTATCAGTTCAGGTATGTCGTTCATTTGTTGATCCTCATTTTTCTCAGACAATTCTCTGTTGTCAGTGTCTTTCAATGCTGTCTTTGAGGTAGAACATTTTGAGTCTTTATTTGTTTTGGTACTGCCCGACGTACTCTGTAAATAATTTAGTCCCAGCTTGTCTTTGCATTTCCTTTTCCACCCTTCGTTTTTTATATTCGCAACCATTTAAGTTCTAGGGGAACGATTAAGCAGTTTTATATCGTCGACGAAACCGCAAACCCAAGTTACTGCAAAAATCAAAATTTTCAGGAGGCACTAAAAACCTCACAATTTTGAGTTATTGAAATGGATTTGATAGAAAATAGTTACAAACCACTTGGGAACTAATTTGCTTGTTTTTATTGGTAGTGTTAGATACTTGGTTTTGACATCTTCCTTTGCACGAAAAGTGCTCCTTACGAGGTTTTGCGCTGTTAATGCTGCAATTTTAAACAACAGCTAGATGCATGTTTTTAACATAAATTATTTATTTATTGGTATCAAAAATACAAAATCAGAAACAAACAAATGTAAATACAAACTTAATTATTGAGGTAATGAATCATAAAATTCGAGTACATCTAAGGGTAAGACACTTTTAAGTGCTTGTAGGTGTTGATACTTCTGTTCTTTTATTTTTATACGACTTTTGTATAATTGGCTAATCTGTCTATTATTTATAGTCTTCAATCTTTGAAGTAAGAGAGACCAATTGTATGAAAAATTACTCTTAACCCTTTCTGTCTCAACGCCGCATATATATGTTTTTTAAAAAGTGGGTCTGTAGTCCCAGCCGCCGTATATATACGTTCAAGGTGGAATGGTCTCAATTTACCAAAGCCGAAAATATGCGCTACTTTTAAATTTTTAGACCCATTGGGGTCCCAATGCTGTAGAAATATGTCAGAAAATGTTAGATTATTGGTCCCAAAGCCGCAAAATGTTGGCACCTAAGACAGGTCATGCGGACCCATTGCCGTATATATTTGTTCTCATATTATAGCATGAAAAAACCTCTGGGAATGAGGGACCGACATGTAAATTAAGGCCCGGGACAGAAAGGGTTAAACTAGATTCCATTATTCTTTTCATATTTCAGGCATCTTATATCATTTACATGTAAATCAGTCTTTTTTTGGCCAGATCTAATACTGCTATAATATCCCAATTTTGAGTAATCCAGAAACCACGTGTGATCCAAATATTTTACCTCAAAAGTTTGCTTCAATCGAGCCTTTTTGCACACTTCAATATAATCAGATTGAAGATTTATGTCTTAATTTTTAAGCTTCCTTTCTATCAAACTGTGCACGCTGTCTACTTCCATCTGGGTATGTCCTTTTTCTAAAATTTTTTGAATTACAATTATGCCCGTTTCGTTGGCAAAATGGTATAGAGCATTACTCAAAATGCAATTACGATTCTGGTAACCGCAACCATCGCTAAAGAGGATAATGGTTTTTGTATGCGGATTTTTTTTCCAAAAAACTGGAAAGATGCATGACAATAAGCGTTGCAAAAATGTTAGCCTCCAGACCACCTTCAGCTTCGTGCCATAAGTAACAGGAGACTTCTTTGTCTACTAAGTTAAAAGTTGTAAAATTGTGAACGCATAATTTTGTTTTGTAGTAAATAGCAGAAGCTTGCAGTACAGGGGCAAGCTTCACAGACTGAAGGCCCATAGTTAGGACTGCAATCTCTCTATTTTCCATTTCCATTGCTATTTTTTGTCTGCTTCTTTCTCCTTCCTGGCTTCATCTTTTCTCTTAATGTGGGTCTCATAATTTTCTTGCGATACGTTCTTAGTCTTATATCCAATGCACACATCGCATTGGTCTTTCTTAGGACAAATATAGTTTTGATTTTCATTTGTTTTTTAAAATGAATTAAACTTAGAGCTTTGGCAATATTATCATCACAATAATCTTTGTATAGACGGTATACATCAGTCTTTGTTTGAAACAATGGTCCCAAGTACAGTCTTTGGGTTGATGGTCTGCAATAGTGTGATTCTAATTTAGGAAGTTGGGCTAAAAAAGTTTTTAACACTTCTAATCCATTTTTCAATTCTACAGGTAATCTTGATCTACTGGGCATAGCTATATCGTTGCTGTACTTTATCTTATTATTAGTCGCTTGTTTTAGCAAATTTTTACGATCCACTCCTTCAAATCCAAAGTGTTTGAAAACATCTTTTTGCAAATTCTGAGATTTTCAGTATCCTTTTTTAGATAATATTCAAATGTCAGTAAGCCACTGGAGTTATCTTCTTTAAGGTATGGTTTCACTGGGGCGTCCAGCGGTAACCTCCCTCGGTAACCGCTGTCGGTAACGACCGGCGGTACCGTCTATGTGTTTTCGTTAAAAGCGTCCGCGTTCGGCAGTTGAGTATGGTCGCTCGTTCGGTATGGATCGAAGACAACTCGCTGCTATACTCTTACTAGAAGACGAAGAGGAGGAGGAGGAATTTTTTTTATTAAAAAAAAGCGAAAAAAAGTTGATCCCATTTTTAAGTTAAGGTGCGCAGAAGGGTTCCACAGCATTTTAATCAATAAACATTTGAATTTAAATGAAAAAAAGGTTAAGGGCGTTTTTTAGGTTGAATGCAGACCAGTTTCAATTTGTTTTAAACCTTACACGCAATAATCTTAAAAAACTGTCGACATCGTTTGTGAAATACCCAATAAGGTAAGTATATTTTTTTTTTGAATTTTTGAACAGTCTATTAAAATTAAACAAACAAATAAAATAAACACATATTCTTTACAAAACTTAAAAATGGAAGGTTTTACAAAGAAACAAACTCAAATTACAAAAAAACGAATAGTAAAGTCAAACAAAAGTTACATGACTTATAACCGAAACAAAACATTTTGGTTGTCTGTATCTCCTTCAGAACCAGGGGGTACTAGGCTGTAGCCCTCTAGCAGTGAGTTTTGTTCTTGAATCGTTGTATTTAATTTCGCAGAGGGTTGCTCTATAATTATGTTTAGAGGTGCGGCTGCATATGCACGTGATTGAAAATCGGATACGACGGATAGAACTTTCATCTGAAGTTCTGTTATTAAATGAGGTGGCAGTGTCTTTACTTTGAGAGCTATACTTTTAAAAAACAAGTCAACTTCATCGTCCTCTTTTTGTTTGCATATCCCTTGCAACAACTCCATCCTTTGTTTCGATCTCTCTTCCATTCCTGCTTGCATTGTATCCTGCTTTTTTAACTTTAAACGTACGGCTGCATGAAGTGCTGCTTCTAGAAGTTTCAGGAGTATCAGATTGATAATATTCGGTAGGCAGATTCCGTTTTTTATTGCCAGTGTCAGTTTTCTGATTATATAATGGAGATTGTGGTGGCTCACTTGCATCCGAAAAATCTTCATCATTACAAGAAATGTCTTCTTCATCCAAAGTAGGTTGAGTTTGAGTTGAGTTAATTGACTGTGTGTCTGCTCCATCCAAATTGGTAATACTCGTATACGATCTAAAAAATAATAATGACAAGATGATGGAAAGATATAAATAAAATTAGTAAAAACCTACCGCCTTTCGCTTTTCACTAAATCAAGAAAAGCTAATCGCGCAAAAAGAGGCCATTTTGGGCGACCAGTTGCTGCACTGCCAGTTCCCATTTTTGTGTTTTTTTTGTGCTTTAAATAATTGTCTCTAATATTTTTCCATCTTGCTTTACAATCGTCACCTAAAATAAAAAATCAAATTAAACAATACATTTTTGTTGCAGGTATATGGCAACAGGAGAATCATTTAGATCGCTGTCTTTTTCCTTTAGAATATCTCACAGTTATATTTCTATCATTATTCGAGACACATTGGAAGCACTGTTTAGACACCTGCCACCAATTTTTTTAGCACCACCAAGCAAAGATCAATTAAAGCAAAATGCACTAGATTTCTGGAACAAATGGAATTTTCCCAATTGTATTGCAGCTGTAGACGGCAAGCATATACGATTTTTTTGTCCAAAAAATAGTGGATCACTGTTTTTTAACTACAAAGATTATTTTTCCATCGTTTTACTTGCTTGCGTAGATGCAAATTACAGATATATATATGTCAACGTTGGAGCATATGGAATAGAAGGAGACAGTAGCATCTTTTCAAAGTCTGAAATAGGAAAACAAGTATATTCAGGACAACTTTTTCCACCAGATCAACGTTTGCCAGGTTCTGACAAAGTCTTGCCCTATGTGATGCTTGGTGACGATGCATTTCGTTTACATAAACATCTTCTAAAACCTTATAGTCGACCTTCTACTAAATTAGACGAAAGAAAGACCATATTTAATTATAGGCTTTCCAGAGCTCGAAGAGTTTCTGAAAATTCATTTGGGCTGTTGTGTCAAATTTTTAGAATTTTCTTTACTCCAATAAATATGGATCCAGAAACTAGCGACAAGCTAATAATTGTAGCCTGTTGTTTGCACAATATGTTACGAGATGCTTACTTGGAATATCATGGGAGTCCCTATTATAATTTTGATCCAGATCAAGAACAGTCAAATTATATTACAGCTTTTACAGGATGTGGAGGATTTGCACAGACAGAAGGATTTGCAGTAAGGGATCAATTTATTAATTATTTTAACAATGAGGGAGAAGTTAATTGGCAAAATTTTCGCGTCAGTAGAACAAGTAGTACAATTAACTAAATGTTTTTAACAGTGGTGTGCCGTCAGGAGAGCTTAAGTTAGTATTAGTCTCATAATTGTAAAATTCAGTCAATAAAATAATGTTATTACTTTATTAAATAATAAATAACCGTTTTTTAACCTATTCTCTAAGAAAAATGTTTTGCACCCCTGACTTGCCACGGCACGCCACTGGTTTTTAATACAAACTGAATTTTATTTATAAATTATAAAAATAAGTAAGGTAAGTTGGGGTAAGTGCGTACAGAAATTTGACTAGTTCAACTTTAAGGAGATGCCACTTTGGCCGGTGAAGTTGAATTTAAGATCTGTAAAATCTGTGCAGTAGGTACATTCAAACTGTATAGGTTCTCGGTAAAATGAAGTTTACAAAAGGTGTTTTTACTTGATGGCGATTTTTTTATTTTCATGACAAAGTGTCGCTCTTACCCCAGGTAGTTGGGGTAAGAGCGGCACCACCTTTCATTTTCAATACCAATTGTTGTTTTAGTTTGAGGGGCAAGTGCCTCCATCCTGAAATGTGTAGAAATCAAATGCTCTGTACAGAATTTAAATAAGTTTATTATTTATTAACTTATAAACTCGAACAACAAAACTAAGAAACTAAGTAACACACTAAAAAACCTGTTTATTGCACAGTATAACCGTCAAACGATATTTAAAATGATATTTCTCCACGTCTACCTAATACAGGCTGAGGTAGTAATTTAACGATGTTATTTTTTGGAATAAATCCCACATCTTCCACGGGTGGAAACCTAAATAGAGATGTTCTAGTAGAAGTCTGAATTTTTCTAGCAAACTGTATTAAAACTTGGTCAGACTGCAATTCCAAAACTTTTCCAACATATTGTTTTAAGGTTTTTTTCGTGGCAAATTCCACTAAAATCCAGTCTTCTTCCTTTAAAGTTGAAAGATCTCTCATAATTTCATTAAACTCATTCTGTACGTTTTCCATATGATTGACCAAATCTGATAATGACTCCTCATCCTCAGACTCTTCCTCGCAAAGGTTTACTCCATTTTCATTTTCTGATTCACTTTCACTCTGATCAATTTTCTTCTTTTTTGCTTTGCTGCTTTCTATAGCTTTTCTTTCCCTTTTTGGTATCTTTGTAGCTTTCATAAGCTGTTTGTCTGCTGCTTCTTTTAACCTCTCTACTACTTCTGTTCTAGTTATGACTTCTGCTCCAGGGGCGATTCTCTTTTTTGTTTTTTTTTGTAATTCCTGATCATCTTTCTTTGCTTTTAATGTGGATAAAAGCAGTTCTTCAAACGAAACGTTGGATTTTATACCTTCACTGGTGCTAGGTTCAGGATTTAAATATTGATTCGTCACGTCTTTTAATGGAGTTGATACATCCATAGTTACAGTAGCTGCAGTTGAAGAGAGTACGGGTACTGCTGCAGGTAGAAAATCTTCTCCATCAGCCTGTTCTGTAACCGTTTCTGAGTCTCCAGTTTTATGTAATAACTCCTTTCTGCTATGTTCCCATCTTTTGAAAGCAGCTGGATCGAATTTGTCGTTTGTGATAACCTTGTCATTAAAAGGATGAATCCCTGCTTTCTTAAACCCATTAACTATTAAATTTGGATTAGACTCTTCCCAGACTTGTTTAAGCAATGTCGAAAAGGATTTTTTAATAATTTTTTTTCCGGGATTCATTCGTTGCCATTTGACTAATTTGGCGTCCCATGAGCATTTCAATGATTTGAAGACAGCTATATCAAGGGGTTGCAGAATATGGCTGGAATGCGGGGGTAGTTTTAATATGACGACATTTTCTTTCATTGCTGCCTCAATTAACTCTATGCCAACGTGTGTAGAGTGGCCATCGTAAATCATTAATATGGGGCGTCGTTCACCAAATGTTTTAAATAATATTTTTGTTACATAGTTTTTGAAAACTGGTGTTTCCATCCACCCCTTTTTAGTGGCAGCATATGCTACACTAGGGTTACTTTCATCCGGTTCTGGAGCCGTCCACTCATCATATACATCTTTGCCTTTAAACACTATTAAAGGCACTGCCTTTTGTCCTGCAGCGCTGGCAGCACATAGAACAGTTGTATTTTCCCTACCTGGGCCACTGGTGGTTCGGGTAGAGGGCACTCCAATTGCTCCCACTACTTTGGTTTTTGAGGGATCTGTACAAAAACTCGTTTCGTCTAGGTTTCATATATGCTCTGGTTTATCCATAATCCCCAATTCTAAAAGAATGCCTTTAAGAATTTCAAAGTAATCATAGATAATGAATGGGTCCATACATCTTCGACGGGAAATTTCGACACTCTGTGGTACTTTTAGAGAAAGATGGTGTCCCTGTTTAAATGCAATAAACCAGTCCGGTCCTGGAATTCCATTCTTAAATCTTGTTTTTAAACCATTTAGTTTCACGTATTCACCAATACCTTCAATCACTTCTGAACGAGATAGTCCGAATCCCCATTTCTCCATGACTCTTAAACACTCTGCTATGTTCTCTTCAATTTCAAAACTTATATCAGTATTTCTTCCTAAACTTTTACTCTTTACTCCTCTTCTTCCTGCCAAATGATCAGTCAATGTCGATCTTGGAATTTCATAGACAATACTGGCTCTTTTTATACTAATTGTCTTACATTTAATCTGTTCTAACGCAGTTATTAAATTTTCTTTGGTATAAGTAGTGGCCCTTTTTGATTTTCTTTTATATTTTCTCACCATTTTTAAGTTTTTGAAACCTAAAATATAAAATTTTCATTAAGTTACGTTGTTCGCTACAAACGGGGTAAGTGCGTATTGTAAGTGACGCACTTTCCCTTTCAGTAAAAAATTTGGGGTAAGTGCGACACCATCTTTAACTTTTAGAAAATAAATTAATAAATATATTTTTCATGCTGCACAGTATCCAAACAATTTATATAAACAACTGACAAAATATTAATATTTATTTCAAACAATAAAAAGAGAAAAAAAATATTGAAAAATTCCTTACCAACTCGCTCGACGAGATCTCATAAACAGGTTATGTTCTGGTACTCACTGACAACAGACATTGAGCGGCGGTGTTGCCATTTAACTAGGGTGGCTTCAGTGAACTATAATTTACAATTTTTGACAAAGATGGCGTACCTATGTCTAACAGGAATAAATATTTAACATGGTGATGATCTTTGTAGTCTTTTTGTTCAGCATCATAAAGGGCAGCATACTTTCTAACTTCCTCAATTAATATTTCGTCTTCAGTAGCCGAAAATTTCGGAGCCATAACGAGAAACAACAATACAAGTTTTAAAAGTAAACAACACTGAACAAACGCGTGACCGCCGACGGTTAGACTGCTTCTGGAGCAGTCAAGAAACGAACGGCCACGCTGGATGTAGGACCGCGTCGGCGAGACGCTTAAACGAAAACAGCGCCATGTAAAGTGCATTAAAGCAGTGCGTTACCGACAGCGGTTACCGAGGGAGGTTACCGTTGGACGCCCCAGTGAAACCATACCTTTAGGTCGTCGAGTAGTTGTCGTCTTGACCAATGACGAAACGTACACTTTCCGCATGTTGCATAAATTTAAAAATATATTTTTTCTGTCGAGGGGGCTGAACGTGTTGCAAAACCTATTTTTTGCCTTTTTGCATAAAACAGATTGACATGTTGGTGTCAGTTTTTTCTCTTCATTTTCGTTTTCATAAGAGTATTTTCCGGTAATTTTATTTTTTCTCAAAGTTTTATATTTACAGCCTTTTTCTCTCAACTTCTTTTTCTTGTATCCTTTTCTTCTTTGTATTTCCTCCTCGATTTCCATAGGCTCAGCTTCTAATTCATTGTTTGCTAAATTTTCATTATCCATGGTTTCTTCTTCGCTGTCGGTGTTGTCAGCTTCTAATTGAACAGTGTTGGCTAAATTTTCATTTTCCACTGTTTCTACTTCAATTATTCCATTATTGTCGTTGTCTGTATCAAGGTCAGTTACTATAATAATACCTTCCTGGAAGTTCTCGTATAACATGTCATCAAATAATTCAGTTTGGTAGGACTCATGAATATCATTTCGTTCGGAAATTTGGATAGTAAAATAGTAACGAATCTACCACACCTGATACCTTTCAAATTTGAAAATTTATAAGCACTTGCATATTACACAATTTTGCTTCAAAATCTAAAATAGTATCAAATAGGGCAATTTTTCTTATTCAATTTAGTCAGATCATGCATAGATTTATTCTAGAGTGCTTAATGTTTAAATAAATATTTAATTTTATAAAATACCTAACAAACTTTTGTTATTTTTAAGAAAATTTTATTTATAAAACGAGGTAAAAATATTTGTAGCTTTACTTAAAAGGAATCGCATCCAGTAGGGGGGGGGGGGGCAATATAAAACAAATAAATTGTCCCAAACTGTGTTTAATGTAATGTACGCTATTAAAATGTATCTATTTAAATTTTTATAATAAAATTCGCCGATCTTTTTGCCTGGCTAGGGGATCCAGGACAAGTTGCAAATTTATTTCATGTTCTCTATGTACACTTAAAACCGCTAATCCATTAAGCCGATTCTGTAACAAAACAAAAACATAACTTAGTTTTATACAAATAAAAATTTCTTTGGTGTAATCGGTCATAAAGGACCACGCACTAATTACAGTGAAAAGTGGCCCCCGTCGAATTTAGAAAAAACTATTGGAATACCTTATTTTAGACCTCTAGAATCCAGTTTTGTCCTCAGTTGCTCGACTTAATGACTGGATATTTTCATATGCCCTTTTTAAGTTGCTCAGTTTCTACTGGTTTTCGAATATTAATCTATCAAATAACTCTTCAGGAAATTATTTTAGCAAAGAATATTTCAGACCAAAGTTATATAACTTTTGATGGGGCATCCAACGGTGACCTACAATTCGACCTTAACCTTGACCTTCAAGGTCACCTTCAGAATTTCAAACGAAATATGCTATTTTATTCTAGAAATGAAATCTACGCAAAATTATACCTTTAGACATGCGTAAAAGTTTCGGGTATAGTCACCCCTAGAAGTCAAAACACCCTTAAATCAAAAGCATTGAATCCCAAGATAATACGCAATTAGGTATATTAGTCTTCGACTTTGGGGACCATTAACACGGCGGTAACCTTCAATCCTCCCTATCCCTTCATGAACCATCCTCGTTGGTATGTATGAATATTGAATATCTATATACCTGCTCACACTTAGCGTCACCCAAGATCAACCAACGTGGAGGTGGTGAGCCGCTGATCTCTTTATTGTTATTTTTTTTTGTTTTATGTTTTTTATTTTTTTTTGGATTTATATTTTTTAGTTTTTAATTTTCGAAACTTTTAAAAAACACGATATGACATACTATTATGCGATATTGATTCTGTTTCCTGCATCATTAACGCTATGTAATAAGTCATTACTTGGATACTTAACATTGGCTTGATGACGTGCATATCCTAGGTACCAGATGACAGCCGCAACGTGTGCGCAGGTTCCCAACGTCCTTGCACCACTTTTACACAAAAAATAATAACCTTGTATGGGTTCGCCTGGTGGATCTAATCCAGTGTTATATTTTATCCATAACTGGTAACTTGTTCTATTACGGTGACGAGAATGGATACGCAGTCGTAGTAATCCTTGATGAACTCTGTGGTGATCAAGTTCAATAATCTCTCCGTCATCTCTAGTCTTCTTGTCTTGAATGTAGGCGGGTGTTAAGTCTAGCTGATAAATACCAATAGTTATTTGTCGTAAATAATCCTCATGAAGCACTGGAAAATCCAGAATATCTTGTTCAGCCAGTCTATGCCATTGTGCGTTGCCACGTTGTAATCCTTCCCTTGTTATCAATTCTTGAATTTCATTTGGCTGCTGATGCCGCGCCAGTATATTCTGAGCTAACTCAGCTGTAGCCCCTTGCATCAAGATCGGTTCGCGATATCTGTTGATGATTGCGTCAGCTATAAGATAAAAATCACGAAGATGCTTAACATGGTGAAATAATATTATTTCTTTGAAAAACTTGAAAATGGACTTCAAGTGCCCATTTCGTGCTTCAACTATCCACCGTGTTTTTGTTATCAACCTTGAATCATTAGCAGCCTCGGTACTAAGTTGGTTCTGTCCTTCTGGGAGCACCGCCGGCATTCGAGAGTGAATCCCGAGTCTTTCTAAAAGTGGTACTGCATCTCGATAACCTCTATCGACAATAACTATTGCCCCGTCCCCCAGCCATCCTCGCAAACCGTCTGCATCATTCTCGAATTCTCTTTGAAGCATAGATGCGTCATTATTTTGAGAATCTGAGAAATATGGCCCATGTATATCTAGTATATATCCATCCGGAGCAACGACTAAGGCAGGCTTTACAAGATGTCGACCTTTATGTACGCAATAAGAGAACCGAAGAGTTTGGAAATTGGAAGATTTTTCAATATATGCATACGTACCGTCGATATACACAATTGGCACACGGTTGGGAGGATCAGTATTATATAATTGATTTGTGAATTCAGTCACGTGGTTCTCGATGTAGGCTTGTCTACCAATAGCATTCAGACCAATATTTTGTGGTACAAATCGCATCAAGAGAGATTGGCGGACTTTGCTTATTGCTAGACTCACAGATTGTCTGGTGCTGTAGCAGAATATCAGTTTGAGAAAATCGTCAGACAACCCTTGACGAATCTTACATAAAAAAAGTATAAGGTCCTTCTTTTTGATATGTCTCTGGCTTGTGGTACTGGATCACAGAATGCCAACATCTCATTGAATTGCATTTTATTTATAGGACTGATAATACTGAACTCATCATCAGTAAGCAATGACTCATCAGTGAAGTTTTGAGCTTGATTATTTAGAGTATTGTTTTTCATCATCTGAAGCAGTTCCTGCAAATCCTGCCCAACAAGAACATAGCTTCGTTCAAAATATTGTAAATCATTGTGAAGGTTTCGACGAAGATTGCCTTCATTGTCCAAGTGCACCACGCAACAACGAACATTTGGTGGAATATAAATATTTCTATAAATAAAGATTTGAGTTCTACATTTTATCGAAAGTCTCTGAACTAGGGCATCAACTCGTCTACAAATGAGACATGCGCCGCCTCTTGGTGCACGGACGACATTAATTCGAGTAGAAGCTGGATTTTGCTCTTCTTGTATTTCGGTGTTTACTAAGTTAAAACAACTAATACATATTCTAGAATCTGCTACGAATGCAGCCGGGGGTCTTCCAAGGTTTTGTCGAAATCGTTCTGCGATTTCGCGATTATGAGCTTGGTTGTCATCTATAAAAGTTCTCATCGTTCGAGGTGCGCCGTCTAAGTTACAGACAAAGCACTGAACTTGTTTTCTAAAAGCCATCTTAATGAAAACAGTCAAATATGTTTTGTACTTATGTATATCAACTGTTGTAACGAGACACACTACTTTTATTACTAAATGCCAATTCTAAAAGAAAAAGCTTCTGAAATATTCGATTATTTGCAAAACTGAAATATACTCACATGTTACTTTTAAAGAAAACCAATAATCTCTTTGCAGTTTATCACTCGGTATAATATTCGGTGTTGGGAAACAATGTGAAACACAGACAAAACACAATATTGTCAAATGGTTGTCAAACTTTTGACGTTAACTTGTGATTTAAAATTGTTTTATCGTGGTTTGCCATGCAAGTAGACTGTAAATGGGTATTTTCAGAGTTATTACCTAGTACCTTTTAGTGCTCTTTAATTAGGGTGTTTTTAATTTCCATGGGGTAATTATATTACATACTTTTAGTCAATAAGTAAAAAAAAATAAATAAAAAATATGAAAAACAAAAATAGGCCGCCTCCACGTTGGTTGATCTTGGTGTGTGAGCAGATATATGGATATTTAATATTCATGCCTTCCTATGAGAATGGTTGATGAAGGGTGAGGGAGGAATGAAGGTTTCCGCCGTGTTAGTGGTCCCCAAAATCGAAGACTAATATAATTGCTTATTATCTTGGGTTTCAATGCTTTTGATTTAGGGGTATTTTGACTTCTAGAGGGTAACTGTACCCGAAACTTTTACGCATGTCTAAACGTATAATTTTGCGTAGATTTCATTTCTAGAACAAAAAGTAGCATAATATTCCGTTTGAAATTCTGAAGGTGACCTTGAAGGTCAAGGTTAAGGTCGAATTGTAGGTCACCGTTGGATGCCCCATCAAAAGTTATATAACTTTGGTCTGAAATATTCTTTGCTAAAATAATTTCCTGAAGAGTTATTTGATAGATTAATATTCGAAAACCAGTAGAAACTGAGCAACTTAAAAAGGGCATATGAAAATATCCAGTCATTAAGTCGAGCAACTGAGGACAAAACTGGATTCTAGAGGTCTAAAATAAGGTATTCCAATAGTTTTTTCTAAATTCGACGGGGGCCACTTTTCACTGTAATTAGTGCGTGGTCCTTTTATTTTATATTGTTAGCACCGCACTAACATATGTTTCGGAAAACTTTATTTCCATCTTCGAGTGCAGTCAAAATTTAAAAACATTAAAAAAACACATGGGGACGATTTAATTTCGAATACACCTTCACACGTTTGTAATGGTCCCCATGTGTTTTTTAATGTTTTTAAATTTTGACTTCACCCGAAGATGGAAATAAAGTTTTCCGAAACATATTTAGTGCAATATAAAATAAAATTTATGACCGATTACTCAAAAGAAATTTTTATTTATATAAAATTCTGCTACGGTCTGGAAATTATCCTTATTCAAATAACTTAGTTTGTAAGAAATTATATTTCTATGTAATATTAACTACCTGTCCAATTGTATTGCGGAGGTACGTTTTAAGACGCTTTAAGGTAGAAAATGACCTTTCCGAAGCAATTGTAGCAAGTCTATAAATATTGGGAAAGAGCATATAATTACATCTTGTTAAGGCTTTTACAGAATTTGAAGACAAACAAATTTCATTTTTAACAAAATCAGTCTCGATGGTCTGATGCTATAAATGAAATTCCGCCTGAATTTCAGTTTTCCATTCCAGCATATCGTCTTGCTTATAATAAGTAATCAGACTATCGAGACCATCAGTCCACGTTTGTAGTTTCTCATGAGAAGAGGACAGTAGACTAGAAAATCCGCTAAACAAATTACGATGAGCCTGAAATCTTTCCATTAATGTCGAATCCAAGAATGGTATGAATACGGTTATTCTATAGTATTCTTCCGAAACGTTCACTTTTGGATTTGCGCGATGACATTGTTTATTTACCAGTCGTGGTAGCTGTATATCTACGTCATGTTTTTGGACCTTCCGAAAAAGTTTTTTAAATTATAAATCAGCAGAAGCTCTCATCTTTTCCAATACCGTGGTAAGATTTCATGCCTGATAAAGAGCTGCCATTAAGTCTATATTTTTACTTTGTAAAAATTTACTCAAAGGTAGACCGTAAGAAAATAAATGTTGCACTACAATAATGACAACTAGAAATTCTGCAGATGTTAAAGTGTTTATAAATGCAAATGCTTCTCGGGATACCGAATTATCTGGCCAACTTCTAATAACATTTAAAGAATGAATAACCCCAACAATTACCATCGGCATGTCTATGGCCCTCTATTGGTTTGCCCAACAACTGTTTGCCGGTGCGACTATTACATGGGTAGGTATAGGTACTTCGGCCGACACCTTTGTAAAACCATAAAATATAAAATTACAAAGTGAGTTATTTTAGCTTTTTTAAATAAAACAGCATAAAAATAAAAAATATATAATATATTGAAATACAACAATTAGGAACATAAAAAAAACTTTAAACTAAACTATTTGCTTGTTATTTCTTTATACAAATTGTGCCTGTAGCCCAAGAGCCCATTGCAAATTTCGGCCTCCATCTGATAACGAAATGAAACATGCTCCAAATACATGTAAGAACATTATACTTTACCAAACGGTACCTGTGCCAAGCCCTATCCTGAGCGAAATCGTTAAAAAAATATATTTTATATTCAAAAAAATCACAACTATAATTTTGTTTGGCCTAAGTTTTCTAGAAAATAACATATTTAAATATTTCTTAAGTACATCGTCAAACAAAAACATTTTTCCCCTTAACATCGCACAAAAAACAATTATCCACGATTAATAGGTAAAAACCATTAAAAATATGAATAAATGTTTGCTGATTTGAAGATTTATTTCTATACCCATTGTTGTACATCATTTTTACAGGTTGTTGTAGAAACGACAAAAAACTAACATGATTTTAGATTTAGGTGGGTATATCGTGATTTTAGATTCTAGTAGTTTTTATGACAACCTGTAAAAATGACACAATAATTAGTATACAAATAAATCTTCAAATTGGCAAAAATTGATTCATATTTTTAATGGTTTTTACCTATTAATTATGGATAAATGTTTTTTGTGCCATGTTAAGGAGAAGAAAATGTTTCCTTTTAACGATGTACTTATGTAAATATTTAAATGTTATTTTCTAGAAAACTTTCAGGACAAACAAAATTATAGTTGTGATTTTTTGAATATAAAATAATTTGTTTTAACCATTTCGCTCAGGATAGGGCTTGGCGCAGGTACCGTTTGGTGAAGTATGTTTTACATGCCTTTGGATCAAGTTTCATTTCGTTTCTCTTTCTTCAGAAAGTTTTGCAGCATACCAAGCATATCGTATTATTTTATCAAAAATTGGCGATGACAATTGATGATGGACGATTGATTGAATTTTAATGCAGTCTTCTCGTGAGTTAATTTCTCGATTCTTTTCAATCAAATATGCTGCATTTTGTAAATGCTTAATTAAATTTTTTACCTGTCGGTAAAAGTAAACGTCACAAGGTTGAACAATCGGCGTACATTTTGGAGGAATAACTTTAACTGTACAAGTAGGCAATTTTTCTTCATCCTGAAAAATTTCATCGTAAATTTCAGGTTTTGTTTGACCTCCCCAAGAGTCTATAAGAAGAAGAATATTTTGGTTCCTCACGTAAGGCTTTAAACAACTTTGTAAAAGTCAGTGTATAAAGATGTGAGTTTTCCGGATTGTTATATTTTTCTGTATAACTATTAACTAATTGTTGAACTCTTGGACCAAATTTACCGGTTGGTTCTTCGAGGCATACAAACACTTTAGGCAATAATTCCCCGGATAACGTCAGAGCATATTGTGCTGTATATGAATGGGTTACTTTATTCATATCTTGTCGCTTAACAAATACTTCTCTGGCTATTTTTTCTGCAAGCGTTCTGTTAAAGGTTGATTGGTACTGGCACCCTGAAAAAGAAAATAGCATCAATTATATGAGTCAAAGTTTACATTTAAAATGAAATATAATCTGAAAAGTTGTTTTATCGACATACCTGTTTGATCAGTATTAATGAAGAACTTTTTGTCAAATTTAGGTATTAATTGTAAAGTCTGAGTACAAAATGTTTCCGCAGATTTTAAAATTTCTTCTATAGTTACTGTTTCCTTTTGTGATACGTATTTTGTTATTTTCCTTTGGCGAACCCATGTTCCTTTTTAAATTTTTTGACCCATCGTTCGGAAGCTTTAAAATCCAAGTGTTTGAATTTTGCAGCAGCAGATAACGCTCACTGCTGTAAATTGTTGGTAGTAACTTGCTGATAATTTTGTCTTGCTTCCACAAAACGATCATATGTCCAAGAATCTATAATTGCATATTTATCAAATATGGTTCCTCCTTTTTTGATGTTTTCTTCCCATCTGGATAAATATTCTTTTTTTACTAAACGACCACATCCTCGACTCTGTAATGTTTTAAAACTCCAGGTAGGATGTTTTTTCGCCATATTAACAACTTTCAATTTTTAGTCTAACGGGATGTGTTCCATTTTGCTTTTTTTTTCTTCAGATGAGGAATCAACTTCAACTGATTCAAATACTATTTCATCACTTACTTCATTAACATGAATAAGCTCTTCATCTGTTACCAGATTTTGTTCAGCCAACATGTCGACAGTAAGTTTATAAATTTCCTCATCCATTAACATAGCTTCATGGGAAATAGAATTGGAGCATTGTGAGATGATTAAATTATTCTCTTTAAGCAAAGTTTTAAAATACTCAACTGCGTCTGTTAATAATAATTTTGAGTGTTTACTGTACACAGAATCTTCAGTAACTTCATCTTCAACTGTTTGTGCACTAACAACATCTTTATTCGCAGACATTTTGATTGAAAACTCTTCAAATAATTTATTTTATATTTATTCACTTTAAAAACAGTGGGTCACAAAATACTACAAACTGTATGAAGCGTAGAAATAAACCGCCACGTTAGCTCAGAGGTTATACTGTCTGATTGTGAAACGTAGTACAACTGCCGAAAAATTGTATACAATAGAATAGTAACCAAAGCTTGTCGTCCTATTGGTTCATCATTCCTCAGGGACGTACACTATATGTGTTCAATAGAAAAACAGCTGCTTTCTAGTATTTAGGTAATATGATTTAAATAAAACCGGTTTGGTGGATACCTGAATAATATTTCATGACCATTTATGCATGAAAAATAATTCGAAAATTGATAAAAAATTTTAATGATAGAAACAAGTGTAGTTACTCTTACTATAAATATCCTAATAATTAGTTACTTAATAATTAAAAAAGTAGAGTAGTTAATATAAATAAAAGATGATTGAATATTTAACAATATTTATTTCTGATTAAATATATTTAATTTTGAAAATAATTAATTAAAAAAATATATAGTTGATCAAGAGCGAGGCTCGAACCTAGAGCATCCGCGCGGGAAGCAGACCCGTTACCAATCACGCTATTAAGCCGCTGACCCAATTGAAAACTTACCAGTATATAAGCGGCATTTGAAATTTTAAAGGTTTATTTCTCTGAAGTTACTGGCCATTCGGCGCTATTACTTTAAGGGTTGGATACCCTAATGGAAAACTACAATTACACGGAGTCTTGTCCCGAAGTGAATTTCCCAGACCGTGCCCTCTCCTTGTTAGATTAAATTCTTTAAAATTTATAAAATAATAATTTCCAGGAATTCCATTTTTGAAGGGTGTCTTTAAATTGTTTTCTTTTACATAAGCTCCAATTTTCTCAAGGACTTCCTTTTTCGATAAACCAAAGCCCCATTTTTCTAAAGTTACTAAAGAGTTTGCAATGTTTTGCTCAATTTCATGGGGAAGGGCTGGTGATCTAAATAATGTACGACTTTTTAAACCTCTCTGTCCCTTCATGCGTTTAAATAGAGTAGCTTTAGGAACTTTATAAACTTTTGCAGCCCTATACAATCCTAAAGTTCCCGATCTTACGGAATCTATTGCATTTTTCAAATCTTCTTCTGTATAGGATGGTAGTAAGGTCTTGCGCTTATAGTTTCGGACCATGATGGGTTAACATCTGCAAGTAAGAGTTGCGATTTTATGGCCAAATAATGAAATAATAATGAAAAGGGGCAAAGGGGCAAGTGGAACCCATGCTAGGTTCCACTTACCCCGAAGCGTATTTTTTGCGGGGCAAGTGTAACCCAAACAAACTTTTCCGGTTCTGACTATTATTTATTTTGTAGCGATAGTAAACATTAGAAAACAGTGCATTAGGACATCACTTACCCAGATAAACTAACAGCACTTTGAACAACTCAAAATATAAATAATATTGTACGGCGGGTATAAACTCGATGTAACAGATTAAAATTGCACGGGAACTTGTCGACGGCCACTAACCAAAGTCGAGTGTCGAACTGTACTGCACTATATCGCGACGGTTGAAGAGGGTGGAGCCTGTCGATTTCAATAGGTGGCGCTCAAATAAATAGATCAGAACAGATTTTGTAGAGGTGGGTTCCACTTGCCCCGAAATTCCACTTGCCCCGGTGTACCTTAATATGAAAACTTTAAGTACATTTTGATTTGTTTTATACAGTGGTAATGTAGAAAATCACAATCTTAAACCATCAGTATTTCGAGGAAGTACTGACTAACTGAAATATTGCCATTTAAACTATTTCTACATGCTACAGTGAACAGTTTAATAATAAATTATATACATTTTCCTTATAGCTTATTAAGAATTTGAAAATAAATTGTTACTTTTTGTCTTACAATAACTTAAAGAGGAAAGAGATGTGTTTGTAAATCATTAATAAAAAAATGCTGATTTTTTCTATTAAGTACTCACTTTCAATCCTTTTTATCGCCTGCATCATTTCCATCATCTGCATCATTTGACTCCGATTTGGTGAAACATCATTATTTGTTATTGCCTTGTTGGATATCTGTGTGAACATTAGTGTGTTTTGTATATTGTAGCTCTTTGACTTGTGGCAACTCAGGTACTTTAGGACGAACATTTTCATCGGAACTCGAATATTCTGATGAGCTTAAAACTCGTCTATGTTTAAGTCGTTTTCCTCTCCCTTCTCCATCTAAAGTTGTAACGTGATCTTGTTATTTTATCTATTTTTATAGTGTTTTAAGCTCATATGATTTTGGGGAGTGGGTTAGGTTATTAAACAACTCGTATTACTTTGAAAAAGAATGTTGAGAGCCACTATATCTAAAACTTACTAAACTTGACTATCGATTAATGATAAAAATATAAAAAATCACTAACCATTAAGATATTGTAATTAAATAAGGTTTCAGATAAGGTAACAACCAATTCTAATTCACAGAGACTTACTTATTCAAATTTAAATGATTTATTCAAGAATGACTTATCTGTTGAATAAGAGGTAATATTTAAGGAGTGACTTGTAGAGGCCTTCTTCAAGGGGATTCGTATGATACACTTCGGATATCACCAACTCTTAAGTATAAATCTTCATAGGTAAACTTAAATCTCATAAACTTCTTTAGATGACTCGAACTAAACCTCTTGATATACTTGAAATAAACTTATGTAGCTGGAACTAAACTTCTATGTTTCTATACTTTTAAACGTCTAAACATGCAGCTTGAACTTTCTTCTAAACATCTCTTTCGATATAACTCCTACAGAATCGTCTAGATACAGCCAGGCTACAAGGAAAAAGGTAAAAATATCAAGAAAGGAACTAGGAAGTTTACATAGGAAACAGATAAAATGCTTTTTACTATTAAATGAACAATTTAAACTATGAAGTGAATAGTTTCACAGAGACCAAAATTAATAGGAAAAGAAAAAGTCCTATTTAACATATTTAAATATAGTAAAGCATATTATCTCTGGGGAATTTTTCAACTTTCTTCGTATGAAATTCTCCACATCGGGAGTCGAGACCTTTTATTTAGCTTCGACGTTCTAAGAGTCCTTCGATAGCCTTTTTAATAAAACAACTGTTCCACTTACTGCCACTTTAATGGGGTTTTAAAAACATTCACGGATACGGTCCCGCCGTAATGGCGGCACCATCATGCTGAGACCGGCATTCGTGTATTAAACTCACATTCACTCACAGAGTAATTAGTGATCACCATTTTCCCACCCTTAAACTACTGGCCAACGGGCCTGCCACTATTGTGACTATGTCACTACATCATGACTATTGAAATAAACTGTTTTAATTCTTTTGTTAAACATGGCTAACAAAATAAACGACTTTTCTTCCTCACGTTGAGTTCGAAAAAGCGAGCTCGATCAATGCAACAAGAAGGACGTACGTCATCGCGGTATCCGCCCTCTTGCCAGTTTAAGTTGCGCAGAGGCAGCTGAGCGGCACATAGGTTTCTACAATATGTTTCTGTAGTGAAGAACAATTTCGGCTCGTGGTCCGTAGATGGAGCCACGAGGGTGAATTTGATTTTAAAACTCCGTTGAGGTCGTACTGTTGGAAAGTGAATCCAGGCCTTTAGATTCAAATTCCAACATACTCCCCCGCCGGAGATTCTCCGAGTAAAGAGAATGAGTGAGGAAAGACATATATGAATGAGCGGAGATCATCAAGGGTGAGACACTGCAGGTAAGGATAGGAATCAGATAGATAATAATACAACTAGTTAAGCATACAAGTAAACAACAAAAGTTATTACCAAACCATCAGATTGGCAACGTCAGAAATTCATTGAACATGTCAATCAAGGGGTGTTGCCAACTTAGCGTCCAAACTAGCCATGGGGCACCGCACATGAAAGACACACGCCATGATTAACCGACAAGCCATTACGTAGCACGTACCAACCACGGGCAAGTAAATTTAAAAAAAAAAAGGTTTAACTACAAGCAATATACAAGCTATACAATAAACAACATGGTAGTTTTAGAACGGATATATATTGTCATCCGTAACAGGAAGAGGAACAATTTTTACTATGGACCTAGAATAAGTTCCTGAGGGGGTTTTAACCTGGACCGCCCGTACTTTTTCGTCCGGACCAGTCAATATATTTACAATTCGTGCCAACGGCCATTTTAGAGGGGGAGTTTCCTCGTCTTTAACGAGAACCATGTCTCCTACCTTTAAATTAGGGTGCGGGGTAAGCCATTTGGGCCGATTCTGGAGGCGGTTCAAATAGTCCTTAGACCATCGTTTCCAAAAACATTGGTGAATTTTAGTACAGTGTTGCCAGAATTTTAGCCTATTAGCAGGGACATCAGCACAATCTCTGTCAGGAAGTGTTACTAAGGGAGCTCCTATTAGAAAATGTCCTGGCGTTAGAGGCTGAAGATCATGGGGGTCAGAAGATAAGGGAAATAGGGGTCGAGAATTCATGATTGCTTCTATTTGGGCTAATATCGTAGCAAACTGTTCAAAAACATAGTGGGAGTCTCCTAACATTCTAATGATGTGGTATTTTGCACTCTTTATGGCCGCTTCCCATAGTCCTCCCCAATGGGGTGATCGGGGGGGTATGTATTTCCAAGTAATGGATAGTGACGCGACATGGTCAAAAATAGCCGAATTCGGTGAGTTAAAGAGATCATAAATTTCTTTGAGCTGATTGTGTGTCCCAACAAAATTGGTAGCATTATCGCTGAATATAGTAGTGGGAACTCCTCTGCGACTCACAAAGCGTTTAAGGCATGCTAAAAATGCGTCTGCAGATAAGTCAGAAACCAACTCAAGATGGACTGCTTTCGTTCCAAGACAAATAAAGAGAGCCATGTAGCATTTTATTATTGGGGCTTTTTTAAGTGTGGAAGACTTAATCAAGAATGGGCCTCCGAAATCGACTCCTACATGAACAAAGGGCCGTGAGGGAGTGACCCGTTCTTTGGGCAA